CAAAGAGGGAAACAAAGCGTGCACTCCAAGCAGTGGGGAGGAGGGGAGAGACGCAGCTGGCCGGCTGGGAGCTCGGGGTGCTGGCCGTGCTCCATCCCTGCGCGCACTGGAGCAGAGGCCTGAGGAGCCGTCACCGGACAGACAGAACGATCCCTTTCAGGAAGGGCGGGCGCACGGGGCGCTTACAGCAAAGGAATGCGCGTCCCTGAGAGAAATCAGTGACGTCCAGTACAGACGCCGGTCAGCATCCGCGACTGCGAGCCCAGGGGAGCAGCGGCGAGGCGGGGCGGCCGCCGGGCTCACGGTGGCGGTCAGCATCCCAAGGCCACCGGGGAGAATTCGCCTCCAATGCCGTCAGGCTGCAAAGGCTTCAGGGCTTCACCGCGAGAGTCTCGAGCACAGCCCGCAGGAGCCAGAGCCTCCGAGCCCTCAGTCAGCCTCGGCGCGCGCGCCACCAGCCGCCGGCGACCTTCCCCTGCGCCCCCGCGTCCCCGGGCCCCTGCGCCCCCACGTCCCCAGGTCCCTGCGCCCCCGCATCCCGGCCTCTCTGCGCCCCCGCGTTCTCGTGCGCCTCCTTATCCCTGAGCCCCCGCACCCCTGCATGCCTCCATCTCTGCACCCCCGCATCCTGGTATCCCTGCATCCTTTGCGCCCTCGTATCCCCCCACCCCCACACCAGTACCCCGTCACTCCTGCCTCCCTGCCACCTGGCACCCCCAGCGCGTATCCCCAGAGCTCCGCCGCTCTCAGGGATTCGCCAAACCTCCACATCGCGCGCTGCCTTCCCGGACCTAGAACCCTAAGACCGAGCATCGCCGCGGTGCGCCGCCGGGCGGAGGCACTAGGCCGGCCAGCCAGTGCGAGCCCCCCTATCCCGCGCGACCCCGACCAGCCCAGGGACGCCCAGCGCATGCGCCGCATCCTCGGGGAGCGGCCTAGAGATGGCGACCCCGTTCAGCAAGCCCTTGTCCCTTTTTCCATTTCAGCAAAAACAGCCGTGCACGCTGTCCCCGACTGCCTTGGTGGAGGCCGCGCCCTTCGCCAGAGCTCCCTTGCATCTCGGAGCCTGCGGAAGGGTGGCCCTCTTTTTTGAGTCCCTCGTTTTCTTTCCTTGGTGACTTCATCCCAAGGAAACCCAGCCTGGGTGCAGCCCCCGGACCGTTTTGGGGCAGCGGTAGCTTCAAGGGCTTTGGAGCCAAGTAGCTAGGGCTCTTCCGGCCGGACAGCACCAGGCGTGTGCAGATGGCCGCGCATCCCACGCAGATGTGCACCCAGTGAATGGCACACCTGTAGGGGCGCTCGTCAGGCCGCTCCTCTCCACGTGCACAGGTGTCCTTGGGAATCAGGGCACCCAGGCTTTGTCCTGCCATGGGAGAGCTCTGAGAGGGCTCACCTGCCTGGGGGTAGCTGGAGGCTAATGTGCTTTCCAGTTCACTGCAGGTATTGGCACGGAAGGGCTTGCAGGCCCATCAGAGCACTCAAACAGGTGGATTTTTAAATCCATTGAAAACTCCCAGCAGAAGCAAGAGCAAGAGATGGCGTCAGTGGGGAGGAAGGCTGCCCCTCCCAAACCCAGGCACGCCTGTCCCGTGTCCCTGTGTCCCTTCCGACCCCAGGCATGCCTGTCCCATGTCCCTGTGTCCCTCCTGACCCCAGGCACACCTGTGCCGTGTTCCTCCCAACCCTAGGTACACCTGACCGTGTCCCTTCCGATCCCAGGCACGCCTGTCCCATGTCCCATCGCTCCCCACTGCCTCAGCCTGCCCATTGATGCTGGGGCCACCACCGGGTGCTGGGCCCATGCACACAGGTGTGGTGTCCCTGCCACGCTGGACAGGCTCACCTGTGGAGAGTCCCAGAGGTGGCTGACTAAGACCTAATGGAAACTGAGTGTCTCCAGCGTGATTGCTTAGTGCCTACTGCATACTTACTTATCCTATTTAGTGCCTTCTGTATACTTTACACTCACGAATACTTAGCGACCAGATGCCTCACATTGGACTACCTTGTGTCTTGGTTCTCTTGTATCTTTAAGCCCCACTCACTCTCCTCACCTTTATCTACACTCCCATCTTAGGAAATTCATCCATTCCCCTCCTGCACCCCAGCTGCCCACTTTTATTTCTTTGTCTTTCCCAGGAGAATGGAACATTCTAATGTAATAGAACAGGTGCTCCCCCTGGGAAGCTGCAGCCAGGCTGAGGAAATGGGAGTGTAGAGAGCGGAATGAATGGCCAAAGGGAGGCCTGGCCTGCCCAGAAGCCAAGAGTGCTTCTTCACCGTGGAGTGCATGTTTGTATCTACCGCCTGATCCAAGATGACCTTCTCATCTCGAGATCTTTTCATGACACCTGCAGAGACCCTGTCCCCAAATAAGATCACACTAACAAGTTCTGGACATTAGAATGGGATCATATGTATTTTGGTGGTGAGGGCACTACAGGTGGGCTCCAGGACTCTCCACAGACAGGACCTGCCTCCCGACATTCCCCATGTGCTGATGGTTTCCACGTGGGCGAACCTGGCTGGGGGGACCATGAGGAGGTGCCGCAATGTGGGTGTGCCTCCGGTGGAGGGTGCAGGCTGGCCGCCAGGAGAGGGGAGCACTCCCTGGTAGCAGGGTGGGAGCCTGCATCTCCGGGAAGGCAGCTGCCAGGGATGGCATTTGGGCCACACCGCTGCCCTGGCTGGAATGAGAGCAGGAGGAGAGAGGACACCTCTCGTTGAGCCCCAGGACCCGTGGTGGACGACAGCATGGCTCTCATGGACGGTGGAGGTTTCTTCAAACTGGGTACCCAGCAAGCCTCAAGACTTGTGAACCCCAGCATGGGCCATGAGTCCCATTGTGCAGGCTGGGCCTCAGGGGACTCTGTCCTCGGGGGACAGCGTGAGGAAGTTGAACTATCCTTGGAGAGAGCCTAGATACAGGAAGACACAAGGCCCCCAGGGTTGCGATGGGGGCTCTCTGGAGCAGAGCTTTCCTAGGTGACTTCACATCAACCACTGACCTACCAGATTAACACCCCTCCGCCTCCCCCCAACCCCCAGACCCTCCACGGCTGAGATACTCGGGGCTGTTCCATCATGCTGCAGGAGAAAACTGGCAAGACAGGATCCAAGTAGGGCTGTCCAGGCCTGGGGTGAGCTGCGGATGGGGCAGTGGGTAAGGAAAGGCGTCTTGGAGGCCTGAGGGCAGTGCTGGCAGGAGGGGTGGTCATGGGCCCCATGGTCTCAGGGGAGGAGGGGGGCGCCAGGACGTGGTCTCCCCAGAGAGCTGCCTGGGACTCAGCCACCCGCACGGAGGGGAGTGGGCAGAGCGGCGGATGCAATTCTAAAGGTTTTGCTGGGTGGGCACGGAGAGAAGAGCAAAGTCTCGGTGAAGCTTGGTGAACAGTGCGTGGAAACAGACCCTCCTGGGAGCAGGTGGTCAGTTCTGGTGACCAGGCCTGGGACCTCCATGCGCAGGAGAGCAGCATGGGGGTGGAGCAGCTGGGCTCTGCCCAGTCCTGACAGCTCTCTAGCTGGGCTACCCGTCCTCCTCAGGGCGTGTCCCCTAACACTCTAGTACATGGTCCAAGTGAATATGTAAATTGAGGGGGTCCTTTACGCTTGTTCACTTGGCAGTCTTTTTTAAATTTTAGAAAATTTTTATTTTTTCATTTTTAAAAAAAATTTTTCATTTTTAAAAGATTTTATTCATCTACTTGAGAGAGAGAGAGATCACGTTCGGGGGGGAGAGGCAGAATCTGGGAGAGGGAGAAGCAGTGGCCCCCTGAGCAGGGACCCCAATGTGGGACTGCTTCCCAGGACCCGGGGATCATGATCTGCACCAAAGGCAGACATTTCACTGAATGAGCCCCCACCCCCGCCCCCCTTGGGAGATTGTTGACCACATTGGAAGTGGACAGAGCAGGGAGGAGCTACCCGATGTGGGGCAGGGGCTGGGACAGACCCATCCAGGCCCAGGAGAGGGGCAGGTTGAGTGATGGAACCTGGCCCAAGGGAGCAGAGAATTCCAGAAGCTGGGAGCACTTTCCTGGCCGTGGTTGTGAATGTTACTGCATTCTTCCTGTGGGACTTTGTACCTCCCGGGCTCCCCTTTCTCAATAAACTACTCGCTCCGCAGGGACGTGGGGAGCATGGCAGAGGTAATCCCAAGCCGGGGGATCGGGTACATGGGACTTGCCATAGTGAGACGGGAACAGGCCTCCGATCTCCAGGCTCGTAGAGGCTAGCGGTCTGCCCCATCTCCCCTCCTTCCCCAGCCCCTGGCAAGCATGGATCTCCTCCCCAACTGTATGGCCCCATCCATTCTGGCTATTTTTTAGACATGGGATCACACCCCATGTGGCCCTTTTGTCTGGCTTCCCTGGTAGACGTGTTTTCAACGCTCATTCTCATGGTAGTGCAGGCCAGTGCCACACTGTGGTTGAATGGCGTTCCACAGTTCACTTACATATTTGTCTGTGGGGATGTTTGGGCTGTTTCCGGCTTTGGGAACATACAAGTCACTAAGTCATTGTGGGTACCTGGGCGTGGGACTGCAGGGCCATGTGCTGCTTTCTTATGGAAGTGAGGGTCCGAGGGGCTTCCTGTTGCACAGGTGGGCAGCTCTTAGCATTTTATCACATATCTGAGCCAGGTAAGCCCTGACAGACGATCGATCAGACACTAGACTGGAGCTGTGCAGTTGAACTTTCCGCGAGGACGGTGCTGTTCTGTTCCCCTGCTTTCCAATGTGAGGCTGCTGGCCATAGGCAGCCAGGACACCTGAGAAACTGCACCCTTGTGTTCAATTTTAAATCAGTGACTCCCGAACAGCTCTGGTGGCTTCTTGGTCTCTACAGGGGACAGCTCAGCCTTGGAGATGACAGATGAAGGGCTGCCTCTAAGAACAGTGTCCGCCCCCCACCACTGCACAGCCTCCCTCTTCGTGTCCCACTTCTGGAATAAAAAATCGGGAGCTCCCCAGAGAGACTCGGCAGACCTCAGTCCCCTGCCCCTGAAAATTCAGCATTTCTTAAATGCCACGGAGGAGTTTGATGACATACAATGACATCAATACATACATACATACATACATCAATATCAATGCATAAACACAAATTTCTGCTAGAGCTGAAGACTGTCACTGGACACACGATGGCCAGCTCAATCTCCAGAAGGCTCTCTAGTGTCTGGGACATCCTTGCAGCTTGTGTCCCTGACATGGGGCCTGCTGATACACGTGCTCTGCTATGTTCCTCCGCTGCAGTGGAGTCCTGTGTTCTGGTCCACGTGGATAGGTCAGGCTTGCACACCCTGGGTGTGAATTTCTTTCACAGCATGAGACTATTTTCCTAAAACCAGCAGATGTGTGCTGAGCTCCAGATGGTGTCTAGGAAGCCCTGGTTGAGTAGACCTAATTTCAGGAAGTACAAATTATATAATCTTGAATTGTCTCACCGCCTTGTCTTTACTGCTATAAAAAATTGATGAAAACAATAAAGATAATGATAGTAGAAGTAACAAGTGATCAGACTGTGCCAGACACTGTCTTAAAGAAATTATTAGGAATCAACCAGTGAATCCCTCCGCTCCCACGACTTGGCCAGGACCCTTGGGATTGTCCAACTCCTTTATTACACCACGTGGAGCTCGTGGACAGTGCCCTTCCGAAATAGCCACACCTATATTACATGATCTGATAATATTCACTTTACACGGACTTAAGTCACAAACCTAGTTTTCCTGACCAAACTCAGTGGACAAATTAGCTTCTTCTCTCATTTTAGCTATCAGCCTAAGGGACTCGGATTCATGTTTCACCAACCCAGACTGAACAATCTTAATTCTTTTAAACATTCTATTTACAGTAACATTTTCTTAAAAAAGTTAACACTCACCTTAAAAATGGTTTCTTAGAAAAGATTGCAAACGCCTCTAGAACAGGAACTCTTTTCGAGACCCTCATGTTCAGATCAGATCAGAACTCGGATGGTTTCCAAAAACTTCGAAACATCGTCCCGCTCAAGCACCTTCACATTTTTAAATGTAAATCCTAAGGTTTACGTGGCTCCTTCTCTCCACTAAGGACGCTTCTCCAGTACCCAGTGAACCCACCGGGTTCTGCAGGCCCGGAGTAGGCAAGCGGCCTGTCCCTGGCGTCTCAACGTGGCCCAGTAGCACAGGGACAAGCACCCTCACGGCGAGCGGTAGCTTGGGGTGAGGGCGGCCACGTGCTCGTCCGCACCCGCGGCGGCGCACCAGCCCGGATCGTGTCTCGTGTCCGGTTCCCCGTGCGCCCGGGAGAACGCAGCCCTAGGACAAGGAACGGAAGCGTGTTCAGTGCGGCTCTTTTCGTGAGGCTGGGGGTGGCTCTGAAAAGAGCCTTTGGTGTCACGGGGCCCCTGGGGCGCGCGGCCGTTACCGGCCCACCTCCGCGGCCTCACTTGCCCTTGGCCTTGTGGTGGCTCTCGGTCTTTTTGGGCAGCAACACGGCCTGGATGTTGGGCAGAACGCCGCCCTGCGCGATGGTGACGCGGCCCAGCAGCTTGTTGAGCTCCTCGTCGTTGCGGATGGCCAGCTGCAAGTGGCGCGGGATGATGCGCGTCTTCTTGTTGTCGCGCGCCGCGTTGCCCGCCAGCTCCAAGATCTCGGCCGTCAGGTACTCGAGCACGGCCGCCAGATACACGGGCGCGCCGGCCCCGACCCGTTCCGAATAGTTGCCCTTTCGGAGCAGGCGGTGGACGCGGCCCACCGGGAACTGCAGGCCGGCCCGCGACGAGCGTGACTTGGCCTTGGCGCGCGCCTTGCCGCCCTGCTTGCCTCGGCCAGACATCTCCAAGTCGGGCGCGGGGAGAGAAAAAACCTGAAAGAAGACGCCCGAAGCAACAAGGCAGCTAGGCCCCGTGAGCCCTTATATATGGTCCAGAGGTAGCCTAGCCGGCCTCGTCCGATTGGATAGCGACAGCCACCAGTCAGAAGAGGAGACCGCCATCCCCTAATTTGCATGCGCCTTTTTCCAGTGGTGACGTGACGTAGCACTTGAGCCTATGAGGAACGAGGAACTCTGGATCCTTCATTTGCATACGGGATGTATAAATAGAGTTGCTCCGGCTTTCTGTTCTTTTTGTTTGGAGAGATCTGCAGCCATGCCTGATCCGTCCAAATCGGCGCCCGCGCCCAAGAAGGGCTCCAAGAAGGCCGTCACCAAGGCGCAGAAGAAAGATGGCAAGAAGCGCAAGCGAAGCCGCAAGGAGAGCTACTCCATCTACGTGTACAAGGTGCTCAAGCAGGTGCACCCCGACACCGGCATCTCGTCCAAGGCCATGGGCATCATGAACTCCTTTGTCAACGACATCTTCGAGCGCATCGCCAGCGAGGCCTCCCGCCTGGCGCACTACAACAAGCGCTCCACCATCACGTCCCGCGAGGTGCAGACGGCCGTGCGCCTGCTGCTTCCCGGCGAGCTGGCCAAGCATGCCGTGTCCGAGGGCACCAAGGCTGTCACCAAGTACACCAGCTCCAAGTGAGGCGCGCCGGCAGCCCCGGAACCCAAAGGCTCTTTTCAGAGCCACCCACACAATCGAAAAAGGGTTTCGAACACGGTGAAGGATTGTCATGTGGACCAATTACGTTTTGTGCGTCCTAGCGGTTTCCTGGTGGTTGGGGATGTGTGCGTGCGCACGTTTGTGAGTGAGTGTGAGCAAGAATGTGGAGCTATTCCGTGCGGAGTTCTGGGACGGGAATCCTGGCCAGGCGTTCAAGGATCCCATGTCCACCCTCCCCTTTTTTTGGGGCTATCATGCGTCACCAATCGAAGTCGGAGCCTTGAGCTTCTGCGTCCTCTGGTGGCTGCAGAGTGTATCCCGGCCCTTGCGCGCGTGGACTCCTAGGCTCTGCGCTGTCTGCGCGGGGCGTGCGCCTGTGGGTGAGGGGCGCGGGGCACCTCCAGGAGGCTCTCGTGCCTACCGTCCCTCCCCAGTGTCCCTGATGAATGAACCCCGGAGGTGAGGACTCTGGTTGCCTGGCCCGGGCGGTAGCGCCTGGAGCTGCTAACTTACCCACACCAGATGTCGTCATTCCTGCCTGGATCAGATCTCGTCATCCCTGCCTGGACCAGGCGTCGTCATCCTGGAGCGGTGAACGGTTCCGGGAGAGTGTTTGCGTGGCTGGATCTTGCAGCGGCAGAATGTTTGGAACCAAACGGGAAATAGAAGCGTCCCTGTGCGCGGGAGCCAGATGTAATAAGACGAAACTTGCGGGTAGCTGTAACCTATGTGGGGATGGGGGGGACATCAGCTCAAGATGTCTGTAATCCTCTGTAATTCCACCTTTTCTGAACAAATTAGCTTCTTTCCTTCTCAGCTACACTTTTATTTTCTGGGAAGCGTCAGTGACACAGAATTCCCCCTTTGAATTTAGGGCATTTAATTTGGAAAGTGTCTTCTTGGCTCAGAAAAAGCGCTTTGGCACAGAGTCTTCACTTGGGAAAAGACGTCGCTTTTCCTTTTGCTTAGCTTGGCTTTTCTTATTTGTAAATAAGAGATGCCCAACAATCGCTTTCCTTGAGCCGTTTTGAGTCTTAGATGGATTGAAAGGACGTGTCTTCGGCTCAGGCAGGGAACACGTAACACACAATGAAAGAGAACAATCGTGTTTTTGCAAATCATCTCTCCAAAGGAAGCCGGTTGGGTACCGGCCTGGGGGGTGGTAGGGGGTGTCTGAGGAGGGAACCGCCCCAGCGCTGAAGCCCACCCACCCATTCCTTCTGCGTGGGTCCAGGCTAAACGGATTGAAAACCTCACACGTTTTTCGGTTGGCATCTAAAATATTTTTTTCCCTTAGTTCTAATAGTTAACAAGGACACAAATCCCAACACAGGACGTTTTAAAAAGCAAAATGGTCAACAACCAAAAATTTTAAAGAAATGTCTGAATATTTGTAAAGTTCTTGAGCTTTTATACGTTTTCAAAATCTTTTTTATTGAGGACACACGATCTTTTCAAGGTATCTATTGAAATAGCAATTCGATATCATAATTCATAAAACACGTGATCAAATTGTTGGTTAACGCTGAGATAGTCTAGATGATCTTTTTTTTCTCCCTGAACTCATTCCCATTGCACTTCTTGGAATTTCACCCAAATGTAAGATATATTTTTAAGGGTTTTATCCACGACCTTTCTTTATCCAGAAAATAATAAATAAATAAGAGATATGTAAATTGTAACTTAAAAATTTTTGTGTTTAAAAAATCATCTGGACAGTACGTAATTGTGTTTAAAAAGTGTTTAAAAAATCATCTGGACAGTACGTAATTGCTGAAAACATGTTTTGGTATATAAGCATCAAATATAATTATAAGTAATTCTCAATCAGAATATTAGTGACACCTACGTCATTCAGTGAGATTGATGGGTTCTCCCTACCTTGTGGGCTCCCTTTATGCATTCACGGGCACATACAGTATTGTCGTGGTTACAATTACAGTGGTTACAGTGACAGTGGTGTGCCTCCTCGCTTTCCCTCTACTTTTTTTTTTCTTTTAGCTACATGCTCTGAAACAATATTTACAAACAAAACAAAACAGAAACACCCAAACAAACCCATACATACAGAAATTTCATCATGGCTATTTTACTCAAATCTCTCCCTCCTAGTTATAATTCCAAAATTTGAAAACAGTGATTTTTCATCAACATCAACACTTGTTAAGAGATGTCTGATTCATAATGAGCACTACAGAATCCAGCCCTCCACTGTGAAGCAGGGGTGTCCTGGGGGGGTGGGGTCTGTGCCCTCAGCCCTCTACTCAGGTGGACTAGGAGTCTATCTCGAGCACTTCTGGTAACAGGAAACTAGTCTCCCAGATCCACGATTCTCTGCCTGACTAATGAGCTTAAGACATAGGTTTAATAAAATGAAACTTGTCTCCAGCAGTGTGTGATTGGGCTAGCAGTAGGCAATAAAAATAAAATAGAAGCTGAAGAAACAATTCTCAGATACAATGGCATGAAAATGTCTTGTTCTGGATAATGCAAAATGCAGATTAATTTCTCAGTCTTTTCACTGCTCTGGTACACACACTTCATTATCATGAAAAAAAACAAAGAAAAAAACAACAACAAAAAAGACTGCATCTGTGTGCTCTACAGTAGGGTTGAGGCTACAGAGAAAGCCAGCAGCAGCCCCAGACAGAGAATGGGCCTGGTTGGGCCCTCTCCTCCCAGCGCATCTATAAAGGAAGATGCAGGGTGTTGAGAATTTATAATCAAGAAATGGAGGGAAATTGAGTACAGAGCCCACGTTTGTAATAGGGCTACAGCAGAGAAAGAGAAATGTTATTTACATTAAGCTGGAGGTTGGAGGAAATGCGGACAATGCGGGGTACTGACAGTGCATAGGCTTGGAGAGGGAGGGCCCAACACAGTGGTGGAATCCTCTGGGTTTGAGATCATGAAATAAACGCTCAGATCTGGAAGGCACTGGAGGAATTCCGCAGGTTTCCTGTCTGAGGCACATTTAAGAGCACTTCCCTCCCCCCATCTCAGCTAAAAATTTCAAGTCAAATTTGCTAATTACAGCGGCAGGGGCTATCCCTTTAATAAAATCTACAAAAGCAAACAATCTGCTGTATAAGAGGTTAAATGTTGATGGGAGCGTGGCAGTCACTGGAGATGGCCAGAGTCCTCTAGGGGACAAGAATCAGGGCAAGGCCCACCTGAGGGAATCGATGGTGGAATCCAAATCCTGGGAGGCCTGCTGGCTTTCAGAGACAGAATGCTCTTGGAGGTGTTCTTTGTAGTTTGAGAGTCATTAGAACAGCGGGATGTTTTTTAGGGTGAGGGCAGCTTGACCTGTCAGGCCTAGTGCTTTGGTTATGAAGGAGGCAATTATACCTCCTTTGCATATGGTTTACCTCGTTGTTTTGTTTTGTTCTTAAATGACTTCCATTCGTTTTGTTAAAAAGGCTCTTTCCACGGGGTGTTCCATGCAACTGATAAGTTACTAAAATCTACATCTGACGCTGATGATATACTACATATAAGTTGGCTAACTGAATTAAAAAAAACTAAAATAAAAATGCTCTTTCACGGTTTACTGGGCTTCTGTTAAAAGTATACACGTTTTTTGAAAAAAGAATGAGCAATGTCCTACTAGGAGGATTTTTAGCGGAGTAGGAGGGCGGAGGGCACAATCTGCCATTTTCATTTTTTCCAGCAGAAACGCGTAGTCTGCATAAAAAACTACTTAAACCCAAGACTCCTGGTTTTGGCCAGAAGCTTCTGGGTCTAGTGAGGCAACGGGAACAGGCGCCCAGCCAAGGCTGCGCCACAACACCCAGGGCCTCACTCACGTCGCGCCCAGCGTACCTGATCTCACCCATTCAGGGACAGGGGGGTTGCTGGAGGGGAGGGTGGTCCGAGGACTTCCTGGAGGTGATGCTCACCCTCACCCCACCGGGTCCCCGCCTAAAGCCAAGGCGCCCTCCCTCTTCCGCTGCTGGCTCGCTGGAGACTGACCCAAGAGGCTTTTGCAGGGTACGCGCCTTTGAAGGAGCTCGGCTTTGGCCGGGTCTTGTGCCCCAGTTCCCCCATGGAACAGCCCCTCACAATCAGACAGGATGGCAAGCTCCCTTCTGTGCCCAGAGGCGGCTCTGAAAAGAGCCTTTGGGTTCCGGGGCTGCCGGCGCGCCTCACTTGGAGCTGGTGTACTTGGTGACAGCCTTGGTGCCCTCGGACACGGCATGCTTGGCCAGCTCGCCGGGAAGCAGCAGGCGCACGGCCGTCTGCACCTCGCGGGACGTGATGGTGGAGCGCTTGTTGTAGTGCGCCAGGCGGGAGGCCTCGCTGGCGATGCGCTCGAAGATGTCGTTGACAAAGGAGTTCATGATGCCCATGGCCTTGGACGAGATGCCGGTGTCGGGGTGCACCTGCTTGAGCACCTTGTACACGTAGATGGAGTAGCTCTCCTTGCGGCTTCGCTTGCGCTTCTTGCCATCCTTCTTCTGCGCCTTGGTGACGGCCTTCTTGGAGCCCTTCTTGGGCGCGGGCGCCGAGCAAGAGGGTTCCGGCCTGGCGTGGGGGGTAGGGACGGCGAGCCAGGCGGATGGGGGCTGCAGCGGGGTAGGGGACGGATGGGGATGGCGGCGGGACAGCCGGGGCGGCCACCGAGGCGGATGGGGGCGGCGGCAGGGCAGGGGCGAAAGCGGGACGACGGGCGACGGCGGCCGAGGCGGGGCGGAGACAACGGAGGCTGAGGAGGGGGCGGCCGGGCCCCGGAACGCGCTCAAGGAGGCGGGACGAAGTGGAGGCCTCCACATGCGTAGGCTGGGCCGGCAGCACTTTTTATCGTCCCATATTCAAATGAAGGCTCCAAATCGCTGGAATCAGATTGGACAGCTGGCAGCGCCCTCTGAGAAGGTTTGCAAATAGAAGATGCCGGCTCTTCTTTTCTATTGGACGGTAATCCAGCCAATCCAAAGACGCGGCGCCGCGCGCGGGGAGTCAGGTTGAGCTTCTTTGTTCCAGGCTAGAGGGGCTTCTTTGTTTGGTCGTAGGTTCTCGATGGGACCGAAAACGAAGGGTATACGAATAGTAAAATAAAGAAGTAAAACCCGGTCTAACCCTGCGTCTCCATCACCTCCAGTCAAGGGGCAAGCGCACTTCTGAGGCCAAAGGCTGGGGAGGAGAAGCTGATCCTTATTGAGCGGAGGGGAATGGGAATAACTCGACTATTTACTTCCCATCGTTTCCTCCCCCACCCCACCCCCTCCGCGAGGCCAGTTTAAGAGCTCATGAGCAAATCCAAAGGACTTCTTAGGAAACACTTAAAATACAGTAAGGTACTTCTCTTGGAATGCAGCTGCAGGGCGACTTTCAGCTGGAGGGAGGAAATGAATCTGTGTCAAGGGAAATAGCCCTCCTTCCAGTTGCTTCTTTCAAGGCTGACTCCTCCCCTCTGCAGTGACAGGTACACGGTAAGTGCTTGATACATAGGATCTCATCGAGTCTGCTAAAATATGCTACGCTTAGGGGCACCTGCCGGGCGCAGTGGGTTGAGCTGGACTCTTGGTTTTGGCTCAGGTGGGGATCTGGGGTCGTGATCTAGGGTCGTGATTTAGGGTTGTGATCTCTGGGTGGTGGGATCCAGGCCCTCAACTGGATGCTCAAGGGATTGTCTCCTTGAAGATTCTTTCCCCCTGCCCCCCCCCCCACTCGTGGGCACACGTCGGGGGTCCACTCTCTCTCTCTCTCTAAAAGAAATAAATCTTTAAAAAAAATCCCATGGTCAAATGCTAGTGTTCTCTAACTAAGCCTTTCACTAGAACACAGGCTTATGGAACTGTTAAAAGATAAGCTGAGGCCTATTAAAAATGTTAATAATTTGTTTGAGCAAAAATGGGTGAGAATCAGGCAGAATCCAATTGAACAGATATAAAGGAGTTCCAAGGAGCAGTACAAAATGAAAAACATGTATAGACAGAACTCAACGTGAACAAGAAGTCACATAAAGCAAAGAAAGCATTATTGCAAGGTCAATTTCCTTTTACAGGACAGCAGGGGCCTATCATCTCACTGGTGCTGATCTCAGGATTCCTGACAGGCTCCATCCTGGGAGATCTGACACTTTCAAAACACTGGGTCTTGCTTAGATGTTGTGGCCCTTAGCATAAGGCACTCCATTTTGTACCTATTGTCTTGTTTTTATCAGAAGTTACCAATCCTTGAGTTGTCTCCTCATTTAATTAATTCCTATTGTAAAGTTTTGCAGGCGAGGTAAACACAACACCAGGCGAGGTAGGCACAAGGCAAGATTTATTAAAGGCACTCTCCAGTGAAGTTTCAGGGCTCAGGAGAAGGGGAGACAGGAAAGTCACTCCAGGAGGAGGTGGGCACTCTCTGGCAAGGTTCGGCGAAGTCGTGCTGGGAGGGAGTCGGAGGGGTCTTCTATGTGGACAAGGCAGGGCATGGGTTCACATCCATACATGGTAAGGTATTTGGTGATCGGAGGGCATGGGGGTGGGTGTGCTGATACTTCTGTTTCATGCATAGGTATCGGGTTACCTATGGAGATGTGACCTGGGCATACATTCTTCTGGTGGGAGAGTGGAGGGTTAAGGAAGGGGTGGGGAGCTGGAAGATGGCGACCCCTGCCGTCATTTCTATCCTTCCGCCTGCATTCCTGGAGCCACCGACCCAACACCTATGTTGTGCCCGAGTTTTCGTGTCTGAGAGACCACCAAGGAGCCAAGCACCGATGCAATCACATGAGGATTTATTTGACAAGCTTAAGCTTGGGCCCAAGTATACCCGACACAATGGAGTAGGGACTTGGACCCTGAACCAGATTACAGTCAGAGTTTTTAAAGGCAGAGTAGGGGTGGACTCGGGGGTAGGTGAGGACAAAGGGGATTAAGTCTCTAAGGAATTTTGGAAGCAAGGTCTCCAGGACCTTGAGGGGCTAGCTATTGTTGGGAGAAAGATTATTTATTACCAATAATAAAAATCTTCTCGTGAGACCCTTTAGATATATATCAGTGGGCCATATACTTGGGAATGATTCTCGACACTATCTTGGAGGTTTAGAGATAAAGGAATTGTTAAAGTAGACTTACAGGATCCTGGTTGGACCTGTTGGGGTAAGGGGTTGGTCAGGCTAGGATTGTCCTTAGCAAAACCTCAAGGTGAGGACAGTTAAGTCCCCAGGGGAGAGCCACTCTGTCTGTTTCAGGGGCTTGTCAGTAGGTAAGGAATTTTAATGACTTTTTATCTTCAGCACCTAAGATGGACCTTGTGCACTTTGATGATTTTCTTCTGCCTCTGTTTCCCACATCAGCTAAACTTGAGGTGGGATGGCCTTAATTTTCTCGGCCTCCACACTATAACCCTGAGTTAAGTTTCCCTATATGTTAAATGCCAAGAGAAAAACAAAAGCTGTTAGGAATTTCACGTTTCTCACTTACTTCAGCATCACCTGGGAAGCTCATTAGTCAGAAATGCAGACTCTTAGGCCCCACATCAAAGGTATTGACTCAGAATCTGTATTTCAAACAGCTCATATCTGGGGGGTGGTGTCACTTTCCTGGCCACTTTAATCACCCAGGGCATTCTTCAAGTAGGCCAGGAAACCTAATGGTGCCCCCAAGATGCAGTGGCCGACAGCTTCAGGGCAGTTAGCAAGATTCCTTCAAGATACCAACACAAAAGCCCTCCATATGCAAATATGTCCTCTGAGGTCCATGGGCCTCTCGACTTGTGGGTGCCTGAGCTGCTTTGGACATACTGAGCATTAACCATTTCATCTGTTTACCTTAACAATATGTAGTTGATTTAACAAGCATTTCTATAGAGCTCATATGAGCTAGCTAACCGTTTATTAAATACTTAATTCAACGTGGTGCCCATAACAAGCTTTCCAGGAGTGCACTGTCATCAACTCCATTTTACAGATGGGTAGCAGAAGGCTGAAGAAAATATGTCCCAAGTTAAAAAGCCCCTGAGGCGAGAGCTGACCCTGGAAATCAGGTTGATTGGCACCAAGCACCAAGCTAAGTGCAACCTAGGGTTTTAAATATTTTGAATAGTGAACTTCATTTCAATTTGAAGAAGGAAGGAACGCCACTCATGATGGGGTGTGTAGAAGAAAAATCTTAAAACACAAATGCTTTGCTCTGTGTTTATGACTCTGATCAAAAAAAGAGTCAGATGTCGTGTAATTTCTGCTGCTATAGAAAGATGACATTATAGATGAAATTGCACTGACTTCCACAGTCACTGATTCTGTTAAAAAGATAAAGTCTTTGAATACAAGGCACTTAAGAAAATAGAACTTGTTTCTGGGTCATTTATGCAAACCACTTTGGCGGACATCAACTCTGGGAGAGTTGCTGGGTAATGCACATAGGTGGTGAGTCTCGCCTCCCAGCACCATTGGAAGAGGTCAGAGGCCTGACCTTCCACAGGAGGTGTGCTCCCAGCAAGAAGGGCTTTCCTTGGGACTGTGCCTTTGGCTCACACTTCTCAGACATCTTCTCACAAGTCACCATTCAGAAGCTGTCCTTCCGTCTCAGTGGACACTGAGGCTGTCAGCACATTTGCGATGTCCGGGAGCAGAGAGTTTGTGCGACCAACAACCTGGTTTGGGGAGGTCGTGATATGGGTAGGGCGCAAAGCCAGGGACACCATGTGCAGAAACTCGTGTAAAATGAGCATCCTGGCATCTCATCCCAAGACTACTGAGACTTGCTGGATGACCAAGCAGGGCACTGAAGCCAGCTCAGGGTGCTTCTTGGGGCTGCTCCGGTGTGGGCCAAGGTTACAGGTCCGAGAAGCTTGTCCTGGGTGCCCCAGGCTCTATGCGGGGCTGGGGGGGTGATCCTAGCCATTTGCCCCCACAGTCCCCTCACCCACCCTGGTCCTGCCAGCCCTCAGAACGCTGGTCCTCCACCAGATCCTGCTGGGGTTTCTGGCGTCCCTGGGGTGTGGGGTAGGAGGGGAGCATGTCTAGGAAGGGCCTTGTGTAGGAGGCTGTGTTTCTGTGTAGCTGCTAAGATTTGCGAGTCCCTCTACCCGCATGTAGAGGCTGGTGAGTGCCAGAAGGTCAGGACCAGACTCTCCTGGTTGCTACTGTGGGGGTCTCTGCCAGATTCACATGCTGAAATTTAATCCCCAGGGGCTTGGTGTCAGGATGTGGGGCCTTTAAGAGGAGAGTAGGGTTACAGGAAGTCATGGTGCTGGGGGCCCCTGTGGTGGGATTAGTGTCCCTATAAGAAGAGGCAGGACAGCACTTGCTTCTCTCTCTGTTCCTTGTGAGGGCGTGGTGAGAAGGAGCCCTCTGCAAGACTTGAAGAGAGACATCACCAGGAACCCAGTGTCTGGCACCCTGATCTTGGACTCCTGACCCCTGGAACCTTGACGAGTGAATGTCTGCTCTTCAAGTGGCCTGGTCAGTGGCATTTATCCCAGCAACCTGAGCTGACTGAGACGCTTGTCCTGGGGTCAAGGGCAACATGGTGTATTGACTGATGGAACACTGTAGGGCAAGCTGAGCTTTTCTAAGAAGGAATGGAGGGAGGGGGGAGGGAGGCAGGAGGGAAGAAGGAAGGGGGCAGAGGGAGAGCAAGGGAAAGAGGGAGGAAGAGGGACAGGGAGGGAGGGGGAGGGAGGAGGAGGGAGAACAGAGAGGGAGGGGGAGGAAGGGTTGGGGAAGGAGGAAGAGGGAGGGAGAGGGATGGAGGAAGGGTTGGGGAGGGAGGGGGAGGGAGAAGAAAGAGAGAGGGGGAGGAAGGGAAGGAGGAAGAGGGAGAGGGAGGGAGGAAGG